ATCTACTTTGAATGTGACAAATGTGTGAATCGATTCCGCATTACGTCTGATTTGCTATAAGTAAATATAGAATGAAAACGAGAGAACGACTTTGACCTTCACTACGACCACGATCAACCATTAAACGTCCTGCGTTTATTCATACAACGACTTTTCAAAGCAATATGAGATGTGGTCGAAAAAGTTGTCCATTTCGAGCTATTTTCAAAAGCTTTCGTTCTTGGTCAACAACACTGTGACAAGATGGATGCACGGACAGACGAGCTTAGTGGAACCATTTTCTAACTCGAACCTTAAAATACAGCTTTTGCCGTACATTGGATAGCAATGGTAAGAACAAGTGAAAAGAGTATTGTGGGCCAACCCACATTGGTCGGGTAAATTTGAACACAAAAATATAAGAGGAACGGATGCACAGACAAGCTTAGTAAGATAAACTCGTTATAACAAAAAATAGGTACGTCTCAACTTCTTCACGGTGTTGCCTACATCTGCGCAAACTTAAAGTACCCTTGTACTAGCAGTCGTGTAGGGTATAAATTTCGAACTCGTTGACATTTTAATGGTTTACGCATTGATGTGCAGGAGAGACGTGTTTAAAAATAAAATTTTCCTTTCACCTATCGTCATCCATCATCATCAAGTTTTATTAATTAAAACTTTTAATTTGTTTTTTTATTTCATATTATAAATTTATTTTAACTTAACCTCTCACCTTAAATGAAACTATAACAGGAATTTTGTTTTTATTTTATTTTATTTTTTTTTTTTGTTCTAACACACATTGCTGTGTGAAACTGCGTGTTGTCATTTCAAAAGACATTATAAATCAACACAACTGCGGAAATAAATACTTTTCATATGATTAACACGACTGTCAATAAAAAACGTGCAACATACTGTATGATAATAATTTAATGTTGAAGAGATGAAGAGAGATAAACACAATAAAAAATTTGTATTAAATTAAAACTCGTTGTCTGTCTATAAATGCATTACCAACAAACAGACCAGAATAAAAGGAAATATTACTTAATTGTGCTATAAAAAAAAAAAAAACAAAATTGCAACAATATATAGAGAACAAGTCGTAAAAAAAAAAAGGCAAAACCAGAAAATGTATTTTCTCTAATAACGCAAACGACGACTTTTTTATCTTGATAAAAAGATTAAATATTCAATGCTTGAAAGTATGCTTGCATTAACAATGAAACGTAAAAATATTCCATTGTGTCTAGTACGCCTAAAAGTAGGCAATATTTTTTTAAAATAAGCTAGCTAATCTAAGGGGAAGCATTTTTTTTTTAATTTTTTGTTAAATCACTCAATTAGGGTATGTTGTCCATATGTCTGTAAACACAGTGATGATCGATAAGAAAGAAGTCTAGAAAAAGGGGGCCGCAAAGACTGTGGCCACATAGGCGGAGAGGGTGCCAATCTCGGCAAACGTTATGACTTTAATGATCGATCATCCGCACTCGGTGCGACAGCATCCCGGCTGTCTCGACTTGAAGGTCGCGCTTCTTATTTAATAGGTTATGTTTTCGAAGTGAAAACACACAAATATATTTTATACATAAAAATAAATATATAAATATATTCGCTAATTTTTTTTCTTTTTTTTTTATGTTAACAATAAATTAATTTTAATATATAAAGAATATTTTAAAAGATCTTTAATCGAAAATGGAATTTGAAAATTTCAACCTTTAAGATGTGGTCTTCAGATACCCTTCAGAACAAGGTTTCCTCGTGATAGTTGGAGTCATTGGTTAATAAGTCTCGTTCCCATGTTTCATTAGAAAATTCGAACGAAAAGATTACGCAACTTATACTGCATAGCATTTTGAAAAATCGTGTTTCGAGAAAACGGTTTTAAATATCCGTATAATTCTAGAGCATTATGTACGCAAAATTAAATTTTTGAATCATTCTAGATTTTACCCCCAGAATCGCCTTCAGTTATCGTACATCAGTTTATACAGGGTGTAGAACCAATTCCTTTCAGTATAACGAAAGGTTAGTCTATATCAAATCCTTCCTCAAGTCGTTGCTCCTTACATCCGCATGAACTTAATATATTTCGTACTGCAGGTGGTCTATGGTATAATAATGATTTTTTGAAATATTTACAAATAGTATTAATACTCCTTAAGAAGATGGACGTAACCCGAGAGTATTAAGAGTACATTTTATTATAATTTTGTAAATTGGTTATCCGTTTTGTCTAATTATTTGTCGATTTTAATCATAAATAAATATTTTTATACCCATCACCGAAGGATGAGGAGTATGTTCATACTGTAAAAATGTTCGAAATTACCGGGAGGAAGTTTCAAAGATCCTACGAAGAATATATACTTTTGACCAGTATGAAATTCTAATAACGATCTAAGTATGTCCATCTGTCCGTGTGTGTAATGTCTGTTGGAAACATTCTCCTGGCTGCAAATATAAAGCTATCGACTTCAAAGTAAGCGGAAACATTGAAGCGCAATGTTGATAATGAAAATAGATCAAATCGGTCGAAGGGAACACTTACAGTGCACCTCTGTTTTTCAAAAGGAATAAATAACATGTTTTTTCTTTTATTATTCATAAACAACAAGAGCATTACTCGTAAACAAATAAGTTTAGAAAAATTTGAACGTATATTCTATGGGCGAGGGTATAGTACCTGCAGAAAAATGGGAATAATTGATCAACACAAAATTAAAATTGAATTTTCCTTCGAAAATCTTCATAAGGCACAAAAGCAAGTTTCAAAAACCCAGTTTGAAATTCAAAATGCATCTAAGCACGTCTATGTATCCATCTGTCCCCTTGCCCGACTATGGTAAAACCTCTCCCGTTTGTAAAAATAAACGATGAAACCGGGACATGTGTGAACATCTCTCCTTTCCCGGTTTTGACTTGTTACTTATAAAGTGCAACACAAACACCACCATCACCGCCATATGAAGTGAAAAAAAGCACCGAGTATGAAAATTTAGTTTATTTTCTTTTTTTTGTTTTGGGATAACAGTGATGGGTATAAAAAGTTCGGTCATGACCGAATATAATTTTCTTACTTGTTTGACTGTAGGTGTTCGCGGTGCGCCGTCGTTAACATTATTTTCAAAATTCGTTTCCGCCTCATTAATTCAAAAAATTCTTTTCTTTCATTCGTTTGTTTTATGTTTTTTTTTTTTTTTTTTCTCTTTTGTAAATAAAACCTAAATCATTAGCTTTCATTGTCTTCTCATTTCTCATTTGTTTTTGTTTACAGTAAGACTAAGGTGCAAATACTTAAAGTGTTTCGTAAATCATGTTATATATATATATATATATATGTCTGAAAAGACTTCCTTCCTTTTCACTAACTACGCCAGTTAGTCTGATCTGTTTTGTGCTGCTATACACTAACGTGTTACGACTAACAGTTATACACACACAATTTAGACAAATGAATGCATTGCGAAAAAAAAAATAAAACCAATTGTTAATCAATCAATCTCCTATTAATGGATTTTCAAAATTTTGTTTTTATCTTGAAAACCTTGAATTATATATATTCACTCATTCACTTACTCACTTAAACATAGATATGTACGTATAATATAATATAATGTAGACAAGTAGGAATGCTACGTCCGCCTTGGGATGTATGCTAAAAGATCTCAACTTATTATCAACTTCAACAGTGTTTATGTACTCGACACCACTTGTGCTACAGGATATATTAAGTTACTTCCGACTTATGTAACACGCAGAAGGGCTCTAGACACAACACAACTTTCATTATTACGAATCTGAGTCGATCTAAGCTTGTCTTTCCATACGTCAGTCTGTCTGTCTGATGTCTGTCCATGTAAATTTGTGCTCAACCTACACGTCGCAATTCTTCAGATATTTTGATGTAAGTAGGTAGAGTGACATGACACCTTCTATTTTACCGATAAATTCAGAATCAGTTTCTGAATATTCTGAATCAATCTAAGCTTGTCTGTCCGTCTGTCCATGAAAATTTATATTGAAAATAAAGATCGCCATTTATGAGATATTTTGATGAAATTTAATACACTAACATACTTTGACTCAAAGACGAACGCTGTTGAAAATGGTTCGGATCGAACCAATTTTCCGATGGGAGCATTATAACTTCAGTGCAAAAGTCGATCTGCTCGACAGTTCCAAACCTAAAACAACGGTATGTCGTAAGCTAATGGTTGGAACTTTAGGAAATTTGAACACCCTGCGCTTCATAGTTACTGAATCGTATGGACTCGTGAATTGTGGTGCCATCGATATGTTATCCTATGAACTTTCTTAAATGTTCTCTTTTGATCACATAAGAGAGGTTGACTTTTTAAAATTTTACACAAATCCAATCCAATTTAATTTCAGCTCCCTAGCACATCAAGTCAGTTAAAGAATTTACGTGAAAACGATCATGTTCACCTAACTAATTGGCATGCCTGCAGTTACTTTGCAAAATACTTTGACTTTATAATTTTATTGACTTGAAATGGTGGATATCAGAGATTAATTTACTCAATATTCTTTTGTCTTAAAGCAATTTGGCACTAAACAAAGGAGGAGAGGACGATAGTCACTAAGCTAAAACGGCATTATTAAAAAGACGTGAGGATTTTTTGCTGTCAGAAATTTTTATGAAACAGTCTATCGTGCATTTTTATTATTATAGACTATGAGTAAAAGGAGGAAGGTGGAGAAAAGTATAATAAAGATATTGCAGCAAAAGAAAGAAAAAAAAAAAGAAAAACGAAAAAGACTAACGTAACTATTTGAAGGACATTATAAAATTTTTTTGAATAACAGAAATAGCGTAAATAAGATTTGACCTTAAAATGTTTTCTACTTTTTTTTTTTTTTTTTTTGGACAAGAATTTCTATGACGATAACATTTCTCAGCGGAGAAGGTTATGCTATAATGTTTATTTATTTGAAAAGCCTAAAAGTAGGTTGCTTTATTATGCTTATTTGATTTTCTTTTCTAGTTTTCAAAGGTAAGCCTAAAGATAGGCATTACAAAATCCTCCTAAAACATTCGAACTCGTCATGTGACATAAGTCGCATATAAAAATTAAAAAAAAAGGAAGAAAAAAAATTTATATTAAAAAAATAAAACTTACACATATAAACTCACTTTAGCCTTATAGATTAAAATATATCAGTAAAATATAATATAAATGAAAATAAAAATAAAAATTAAACCAAAAACGCAACAAACGTGAATAAAAAGAAAAAAGTAACTTTGACTTAATTGCAGGCCATTCAACTGCCAACAGCAATAGAAAAAAAAAAAGAAGAAGAAAACAAAATTTGTTTTTTTTTTTGCTTTTAATTGTTTATGTTCGATGTGCCAAACAAACTTCCCCCCCACCACCAGCATAGCATTGCTGATAAAGTTTAGCAAGGAAAATGAATAATCAATTGAGTTTATTATAAATTCCGATGGTAGTAAAAACAACAACAACAATAACAACAATCAAGAGAAATGCTAATACAATAAACATAAAATAGTGAGAGAAAATTTATTAATAATAACAAAGTGTGTAATAAAATAAAAAAAAAAATTAAAAAAAACTTAGTTTTTAATATATAAATGTAATATTATTACTAAAGAAAATATTTAAAAATTTAAAAAAAAAAAAATTATTTATTTGTAATTAATTTTTAACAAACAAGTGAAAAGCCAAATTAGACCTTGACATATATAAAATTATAAAATTAATTTTTTAATTATATAAAGATTATATATAAACTTAAAAAAAAAAAAAAACAAAAACAAAAACAATAACACCGCCATGCATGGCATAACGCATTTATATCGTCAACAAGCTATTGAGAAGCAATTGAACGCCGATTGCTGGCAAAATGGTGTCAGTCACTTAGCTGCCTATGGGCGAAATCATTACTGTGACATTGATTCTCCGGCTTGGTCGCAACAACAACAACCTAAGAACATAGATAATTCTCATAAAGCTTCGAGTCCTCAACCGGTACCGGATAGTCAAAAATCGGTAACAAATCATTATCGGAATTCACCAAGTTATGCCCGCAATTCCTGTGACAGTTCCAGTGGCAGTTTTAAACGCGCCATCTCCTCTAAAAGAAGTATATTCGATCGTAGTCACAGTCCGGCTATATATTGTGTAAGATTTCAAGCGAAATGCTCTGTGTCCTAAGAAAAAAAAAAAACAAACTAATTCTCTTTAAATTATTTGATCGCAGAGTTTACGTAAACCTCCACCACATCATAGTGATCGTTGCGATTCGCCGCCGACACCTGGTTTCTTTCCCCATGATCTCGATGATATTTACGAGCATCAAAACGATCATCAATACTTCACGCATACCGGGGCGAGTAGTCAACGTTATCAGGAGCAAAGACCGAGCATTAATTCAATATTTCATCGGGTTGGCGCGACAGCAACTTTAGTCGATGAGCATAACATTAGCAGGAGCAATAGTCCGAAACGTCATTCCATTGATAGTGGAACTGGTTCATATTTTCCACGTCATCGTTTCGATAATAGCAGTTTTGCGAAATCGTTAAGCGTGAACGATGACGATCGCCGGGCGAATTCATCATCACCGAAAGAACACAAACACAAGCATAAGGATCATCATAATTCGATACAGGAATTATTTCGAAATTTTAGCAAAAAAGTCCATCTATGGCCTCGTAAATCACACGATACTGCCAGTGCGGTCAATAGTGCTTGTACCTCACCACAAAACGATCCACAAGAGAATTTTCGTTTACGTTCGAAAAGTTTAGATGTGAATACCTTAAGTCGACCGCATCGCATTCTAGAAGACTGCGGTGCCACTTATCGTATCTTCGATAGAATACTCAAAGAAGGTAACTCCTCGAAAGGGGTTAAAATTAAGAAAAAAAATTAATAAATTTTAATACTTGCTGTGTTGTTTTGCGTATACAATAAGCTGTAAACAAAAAAAAACAAAAAAAATGAAAAAATTTTTATTAAAATTTAATTAATTATTTTTTTGTTTCTATTAACAGGTGCTCATATGCGTCGTGCTTCGGCCGATTTAGAAAAACGTCGTGCTTCAGTTGGTGCTGCTAGTCGTGGTTTGCGTGGTGATGGTACTTTAGATCCTCACGCGGCCGCCATCCTATTCCGAGATTCAAGAGGAGTAAGTAAGAAAATAAATTCTTAATATATTTCCATCGATGTTTGCTAACAAAGAAAACAATGATTGGCGTCAATTCGTCAACCCTTTGAAATATTTGCAATATGGGTTCAAATCGAATTTTATGGCCAAAGCAATAATGAGTGCCATGTAAACCTTTCCGAAAAAATTGGGCTTTTACTTACTTACAAACAATGGCTACGACCAGATTAATTAATTAACTTGTGACCACCGCATAGTCTAATAGATGAGAAACGCGACTATCAAGTCGGACATAGCCAGGTTCTCAAATCCCAGGACGGATGGAAGATGTTTTAATTACGATTAACTTTGCAGTTGCCGTTGTAAACATTTATTAACCAATTAATTGCTGTTGTGAAGAGTGCATATTTGATGGTCTGTCCATCCGTCCTTGTCAAATTTTCTTATAAAACTTTATCGCTATTAATGTGTAGTTGCCATATAATAATGTATGTTAGAAAATATTTTTACCAATTTGTTATGTTCTCTGTGTTCGACGAGTAAACCTGTCATCGCAAAAGAAGCTGACACATAGTTAAACTGGCTAAGCGATTGAAATAGAAATCTAATAACATTTCCTCTGGCTTAAAGCATTCTTATACCTGTTCATATATTTCATAGCATCAATCTCTGACAGCTCAATATAACTCGCATCACAAGCACAGTCCAAATTATTCATTTTTGGAAAGAGCTTTTGCAATAACTTTTCGTTTGCAAACCAATTTTTTTTCTTCCAGTTTATCGACTCTATAATTTTCATCTAATTATTAAATTTATAAAACTAGAGCAAAAAAACAATGTTGCTCCCATCTATTTTGTGCATTTGACAAACAATAAAAACTAATTTCTTTTCTAGCAGTTCGCTGTTCCACTGCTTCAAAAATAAAAAAAAAGCTTTTTGTTTTGAACTTTTTCATCTTCGACTACATAACATAAACAAATTTGCTTGATAGACTTTGTCAAAAGAAAAGCTTTCATATTTTCTTATCTAATAGATGGCTCTTTGCATGCTTTCGAAAAATGTTGTTCTCAAACTTTTATAAGGAACACATTGTTGAAAACTTTTCTTTACTTTATTCTCCCTGTTTCTCCCTTTCTCTTTCTCTATCTCTTTATCACACACACACACATACACACACACACACACACACACATACACACTCTACAACATCACTCGCCCTTCTAGACATACCAGTTAAAGCAATTGGTTAATAGGTAAAGATTATAACCAGAGACAACTAAACGACAAGATGGTCCAACATTTATTTGAAAACTACAAGATGCCTATGGGCTTTCTGTGCTTTTTTTTTTTTTTGTCAATAACAGTAGCAAAGCTAAATAAAAGTTTTCATTAACTAAAACAAAAAAAAAATTTGTTTATACCCATCACCGAAGGATGAGAGATGAAGGATTCATTTTATCAAAACGTTTGCAACGCCCAGAAGGAAGTATCAGAGAGCCCTCAAAGTATATGTATTCTTGATCAGCAACAAATCCCAAACCTATTTAAAGCATGTCCGTCTGTGCGATGTCTGTTGCAGACATGCAACAACTATTGATGTCAAGTTTAGAAGAAGCATTAAAAGTTCTTGCATGCATCTTGGTATTGAAAATGGGCCAAATCGTCTGAAGGACATGCCCACAACACCAGGTAAACTGAGCACATCTCTGTTTTTCAAAAGGACTAAGAAATTCGTTTTTTTGTTCATTACTCATAAACTATAGCAAATAAATATACAAAAACTTGAATACACATTCTATGGGCGATGCTTTAGCATTCGCATAGAAGAATGGGAAAAATTGACCACGTCTACTCAATATTACAGAGTATCAAAATTTAATTGTTTATATAGCGCAGAAAAAAGCTTCAAATACATCATAAAGTATACAAATTCTTGCCCGGTTTCAAATTTGGAATGCCCTTGAACATGTCCGCCTGTTCGTCTGTCCGTCTTACTGTTTCCAAAGAATTTGGAATTAACTTAAATTTTCCAAAGAACACGCCTACAACGCTCACACGCCTATACGATAAAAATTTTTATTATGAAAATAGAAGAAATAAGCCGCGCCCACTCCTTCTTATGGAAAATAAAAATGTTGTTCTTTTATTTTGCCGTTTTTAGGACAATGGTGAATGGGTATAAAAGATTCGGTCCCGACCGAAGGTTGCATTACATGCTGTATAAATATATTGCTTCCTACAAGGCCCTCATTTGATGCTACGTTATATGTAAACCGTGTCATATGAAACTCGGAAATAATGCAACTCAGGAAAATACGTTTCGTAGAAACCACGTTAAGAATAAGATAAATCAAATAAAATTATATCGCGTTCTATGAAAATCATTGCCGGTTTATAAGAAATTCGGAATTAGCATAAATTAAATGCATTTATGCCGCGTTACATAGATTAAGTGAAGAGAAGTTTATTGCACGTACAGACACCTGGACAGATTCAAAGAAAATCTTTAGAATAAATTTAAAAAAAAAAAACATTATTTTGTTATTTGATAATTTTTATGGAAATTCCACATTATCTGGGACTTGGGAATAGCCCATTACACTGGTTAACAATTAAAATTTCGAACAACGAATGAATTTTTCAAAGTTTCTTGCACAGAAAGTGCGTTGTGGGAGACTCGTATTGTAAAGCAAGTAAGAATGCTCTAGTCGAGCAAGACCAACCATTAGATACCCTACATCAGTTCCCTTAACTAATAACATATCACATGGTCAACACATTACACACAATTCATATACAAATCAGGGAAAAAGGTTATAGGCGGGCACGGCTGACCATTAGACACCCTATATTCGGTCACTTTTTTAATAATGTACAAAAAAATTATACTTCGCTTTCATGTAACTGCATAATTTTTATGAAAGCCTTTATATTGAAATCTATATTCGAGGATGACGTGGTCCAAATTAAGCAGACTTAACGTACTTGTTAAAGATTTGATTATTTTCCATTTGCTTTTTTCATAACAACTCACAGATTAGACTGCCGCCATAGAGGGATTTATTTTTCAGAGGCAGAATCTTTATATATGAGGGCATTTAAAGAATAGATCTATCTGGTCTAAATTCGGTAAGGTTTATTTTTATGTCAAACTCTTATTACGAATGAATTTTCATCAAGAAGTGTTGCACGTTAGGCCTTCTTTTCATAGAAACCTTCAGTTCCCGTAGGAATGGTTATACAATAAGGAATTGAAAAAATTGCCCCATACGATTCAAAGTTTTCATATCAATTTAGCATGTCGAGCAACGATATTTTTCGTGAAATTCTAAAAATTTGCAATATTTTTTCTTATAACACAACTTGTTGAAAAGAAAGCGTTATATGGGAAATGTTCGAAAAAGGGGTCCGATCCGAACAATTTTCAATAGCGTTCGTCCTTGAGTTGAAACATGTCGGTATACCAAATTTCGTCAACATATCTCTTAAATTGCAACATACGGGCCGGAGAGAAGAGTACATGGACCAACTTCCACACAAATTTAGTATTGATATAATAAAATATGAGTCTATCTGAAGACCTTCTGGGTATTGCAACTATCCTCGCACAAATTTAACATACTCTTTATCACAAGTAGGGTATAATGTTCTTACTTGTTATTAACTGCGAATGTGTCAATTGGTCGATCGATTGAGGCCACTCTTGTTTACGCCTTAAACCTTAAATCGCTAACCACTTTAGCTGAAACTCGCACTTTCTTTCTCTATCGGGAACATGGTCTCACTTTCATACTTGATCTACGGCAATCAGTTAGAAAGATAGATGATCTTTTACTAATAGGAAATATACTTACCCTAAATCTTCAATGTCTGGTTGCTGCAAACGACATGATAGTCTACTTATGTGTGGGAGAAGTGTTACGCGAAAAATAAATTTATATTTGGAAGAGACTTTTACCTCACTGACAAGCGACTTAGATGGCCTTGTCTTCAAATATTGAAATCAGTATAAAAAAGTTTGTTAGAGAAAACTAAAACTAATTTTCCTTATAAAGTAAGTTAAGTAAAAACATTTAATTATTGCATCACTTAATTTATCACTTAATAAACCGATTGTTTAAGTAACGTGCTGTGTGACACGTAGCCGGTAGACCGGTTTTGTTAATACCATTTAGATTAACAACGACTTGCAATTCAGGTCATAAACGATTCGTAAACTTCGATCGATAGTGTTTTCTATTCACGGTAGTAGAATCTTTCTTTTCATTTTCGATAGTTTATACCGACTAATTATACCATTAGCCCGAAAAATTAAAGTATGAGAATAAATAAATCATCAAAAATTTGTAATAATCTCGATAAAATTAATTTAATAAAAAAAATTTTTGATTAATTTCGATAAAAAAAAAAAATTCAAATAATTTCTATAAAATCATTTAAACAGAAAAGTTAATAATTTCGATTAAAAAATTTAGATAGTTTCGATAAAACTCTTTCGGTAAATAATTTGGATAATTTCGATAAAAAATTTAGAATTATTTGAATAATACAATTTGGATAATTTCGATATAAAATTTGGACAATTTTGATAAATTCGTCTTTTTAATGGGAAAATTTGGATAATTTCAATGGAATTATTTGAATAATAAAATTTGGTTAATTTCGATAAAATTATTTAAATAACAAAATTTGGATAACTTTCAATAAAAAATTTATATAATTTCGATAACAAAGTTGGATAATTCCGATAACAAATTTGGATAATTTCGATAAAATTATTTAAATAAGAAAATTTGGATAACTTTCAATAAAAAATTTCTATAATTTCGATAACAAAGTTGGATAATTCCGATAAATTTATTTAAAAAAAGAAAGTTTGGATAATTTCGATAAAATTATTTGAATAACAAAATATTGATAATTTCGATAAAAAATTTCAAGTTTTGTCACTTGAGAGTTTCAATAATTTCAATGAATTATTTGGAATAACATAATTAAAATTATTTCAATTAAATTTCGG